CCTGAGGCAGCGCCGGGGCCCCACTCCCGGCACACTCGCCTCTTTCTCCCGGGAGTCAACGGTCGGGAGCGGGGTGGCGGGGGCGGGCCGGAGATGTCCCGGGACCTCGCGGCGTGCCGGAGCGTGGAGAGCGGTGGCTTAGTTGAGTCCCTTGAAAATGGGATTTTCCTGCCTCTGTGTGGCATCTGCAACCCGGCGGCTGAGGTACTGCGAGTGGGGGAGGACTGCGAGGCGGGCATTGTTACTCCGGTGGGGAGTCGGAGAGCCCTTGCAATTAGGCCTTGCATGCTTAATCCTCGTTGAGGGAAATCTGACTTTAAAACGTGTTTGCTCTTGGTACTTCAAAGAGCTTTTCTTTTCTTTTTTTCATTCCTGAACTGCTGTGTATTAATGTTTTTGGTTTCTGGGTTTATTTGTGCTAATAGGTTGTGAATTCATCTCATTTTCTTTGCTAAATAATTTCACTTTCTACATGAAGAGAATTGTAATGGTAACTACTCATCTCACTGCATTTCTCTGTCTTCTAAGAGACAGGTAGCGTGGAACTTAAGTGCTGCTTTGTTCTTCAGCACGAGTATGAAAAAATAAAAGCTGTGGCCGCTGCATCTCTCACGTAGCACTGCAGTGTGCAGGGAACTGCCAGTGTTTGCAGTAAGATGGGTCCCTAGGGGGAGAGGGATGCACTCTGACATGATAGCCATCCAGTTTGCCACCTCTGCTACCCTGTGCATTTCATTTGATGTGCTGGTTGAACTGAAACTCCGGTGTTGATATCGCAGCATGGCAACTGTGAACGCTTGTCTGGGGGTGGAAGGAAGGGTTTCATCTCTTGCGGGTCCATCCTTTGATTTATCCTGGAGCTATGTTAAATACTGACCTGTAAGTTCACCCAGTAAAGCAGGTGGCAACTAGCTTACGCTGAAGGTGTTGTAGTTGCTTTATATTTTCAAACACACAAAGGTTGGAGACCGATATTGTGATAATAAAAGTATATGTCAGACTTCATAGCTGTTCTTTATGTTCTGCTGATCTATATGGCAGAGGATCCAGTTCTGTTGGTTTTGACACAAGTACGTGGTTTTCTGTAGCTGTGGGACTAGTTCTGTTCTTAGTTGCCATTTACTACTTTTAGCAGAACTGGAAAAATATGTGCTCCTCTAATAATGATTTGACAGAGGTTTTCTTTGAAAAGTATGGCATATATGAGACTGAGAAGATCTCACTGTGATGCACTATATCATCTTGGGCTTGTAGTGTATACGTTTAGAAGAGCAGATGACATCTTTATTTCTGTCATGTTCTGCAAGTCGCTGGCTGCGCTAAGAATGAAGATGTAGTATGTGAATTGCTCTGTCATCGGTTCACACAGGCTTCAGTGGCGCATGTTTCTTTTCTGGTTGTCTGCAGAATTCTGTCCATCACAGAAGCTTTGTAATGCAGAGCAGTTGTAAAAAGGGACTGGAGATTTCACCTTAAGTAATAATCTAAATTACCAGAATTATGCTGGTATGTCACCAGCTGATGGAGACAGTTTTAACTTCAGAATGTCTGGCTCTGCTCCTGTCAGAGTAAGGACCATCCATGGGTGGGTGGGATGATAGTAAAGCGCAGGGGCAGAGTAACACTTACAAGCTCTTGTCATTACCCCAGTCAAGTTTGCCATGTAGATAGTGTTCAAATTAATAATTTTCCAATTTCAGTGACTTGACTAGCATGCTGGGATGTAGCCTTTTTCTATAGCTGATGTTTTATTGTTTGGTATAGTTACTGAATAACACTTTCCCTTGAAGAAGTAAAGCTATCTAGATTATATCCCTAGGAAGGAAGCATCAATATGTTACAATATTTGCTATTTTTATACTTGACATTTTTGAAGTCTTCTTTCCCAGGAAAGGTTGCGTACACAATTTTTGTAACCTGTAACTAAAAGGAAAGGACTTTATTATAGTGCAACTAAGGAAAATGACAAAATATTTTAAGTTTCTACTTAGTTATATATTTAAGGCATGACTTCTTGGCTGCCAGAGTTAATTTTATAGCTAGGTAGTTGAGCTAGAGTTCTGAAGGTCCAGGTAAAAAATGTCATATATACTAAATTGTAGCGAAGTGTTCTTCCTGATATTTAGTTTGCATGTGAAAATATTGGAGATGATTCACGGAAAGCAAAAATGACAATTGAATTCAGAAGGTCATAGACCTCTTCAAGGTAACTAATACTTTTTTTTTTTTTTAAACTTGGGTATGTTCAGGCCCGTGCACACACACCCACACCCCACTCTCTGGAGTTAGAAGGTGAGCAGGTTTTAAATGTTTCAAGTAGCAGATGTGCATGTATGCTGCTGCTCCATCTTTCCCTGATACATTTAGAGCATCTCTTATATATCGCATTTGGAGGAACACTCAAAGCCTTAATGATAGCTGTGTAAATCCAGATCATTTTTTAAATGTGGTATGAATTGGTGGTGACTTTGGGGTAGAAACCTGATTCTTAGCAGAAAATGTACTTCATAAAAATGAAATACTGGATAAATGACCTATTTTATATTAAAAGTGATGTTAGTGCAACTCTTCTAACATTTGTGAGAGAGATTCCTGGAGTCGTGAAGAAGAGAAAATTATCTTGAGAGAAGGAGAAATAGAAATAACTTCTTTAGCAATGATAAATGACAAAGCGTTACTGCCTTTTTTTTTTTTTAATATATATTTTTTTTATTGTTAGTGTTTGCAGTCAAAGCCCACAAACAGTTTCTGCTTTTAGCCACTGTATTCTAAGAGGTTTCTTTCTGGAATTTGGAAGCTTTTACCCAAAAGACTCTTTTGGCATTTTAGATGCGGTTAAAATGCATAGACACCTTTTTTCAAAAGTGGTGGTAACAGCTATTTCCAAGCATAATCTTATTTAAGCCAATAGTTCTTCTGAAGAAATGGGTGAACTAAAGTTGTAGGTAGAATGGTGTTGAGTCACATTTGACAGGAGATACAGCAGCATGCTTATGCTTCTTGGTTTCTTTTTCATCCTTAAGACTAGCAGAGGAAAGAAGTTCTTTCAGATCTCATCACTGTATTTCTTTCCCATAGTGTTAAGATTTTTAACAATGAAGGGGCACTGTTGGGTAAAGTTATGAAACCCTTCGTGTTCTACCATGCATTTATTTATATGTGAAAAGTTTGTTTATTTGTAAGAATTTCCGAATAAATCTGGTGTTTGCTGGCTTTTACTGTGTGTTGAATTTTTAACCATTTTTCATGTTTGACTGTGCTGACACACAGACATACAGGCATCCTATTCGTATAACAAAATATTAATCACCAGTTGTTTTACTCTGGTTGTGTAATTTCTTACAGTAGAGACGGCATACAAAACCATTTTTGGACCCCCCCCCCCCCCCCCAAAAAAAGAAAGCTTTATCTGAACAAATATGTTAGTCTAGCTACAGACTTGCTCATCTCCCAAAACATGGTACAGAAAGAATAAAACTCCTCAGACTTGCAGCAGTTTAAAGTCAGTCCAATTTTAACATAAAACAGAAGGCTTTATTGCTTTTCCAGGTTGCTTTGAACTCCATTTATCATGGTAAGCTAAATTAGCTTATGTTAAACAAGAGTGCTAAATGGATGAGTAAACGTATGTAAGTTATAAGCTTCAAGTGTAGAGGGAACTGTAATGTTATTGTTCTAGATGTTCGCAGTAGGTAGGCCAAAAAAATAACTACTGTTGAAGGATGACAAACTTTGATTATGTTATAAGAGCTAATAAAACTTTTTTTTTAATTATCTACCAGGTCTTTCTACTTTTATTTTTCTCAGAGAGATATTTCATTGGAACTAATACTCCGTTTGTAAAACAAATAATGGATGTTTCAAAAACATACTGATTTTGTACACTTTGTCTTATAATTCTAGATGAAACCCACTAGAAGCTATACTAATGATTAAAATAAATATTGCTATCTTCATGGAGAGAAAAATAAGAGATAAAATACCTTCCTATATACTTTTCTTATTTTATATTTGCCAAGCTGAGTTTCAGTAACAAAAGGCAGGGTAACAGAATACCAAGTGTACAAATATTCAAGTAATAAAATGGGTTTAATTATCAGAATTAATTACGAATGTTTCATATGAAGGCCTTGCGGTAATGATGATTAACAGAGACGATCTATTTTTAATACTGAAATGCTTATATCATCTTAAGCCATTTCTTGATGGTCTTTATTTGTATCAGCTTTAGAAGTCTTGAGATTTCGGTTTGTGTAACTGCGCTGTATATGGCTAGATGTGAACACTAAGTATGAGTGTTCTTTTTAATTGCATTTAATAGAGTGAACCAGCAGAATGATAACTTAAGAATAGCTTCTAATCATGGAATGTCTGAGTCTATAATGGGAGAAATAATAATCTTTAAAATCCAAACACTATTACGCTTATTTTACATTTGTCTTTCATCTTAGATGCCTGAAAGTTTAGGTGCTAGCTGAGATGGGGCAAAAGTTCTACTGCTTGCTTAGACAGTGAGGTGGCCTTCAAGGAAGGATGAAGAAGGGAGTATATTTGCTCTATGTGACGGTGACACACTTTCAAATCAATTTGAAAACTTTTACAAGGAAACGTACACAAGAAGTGATAAACACTTGGACCCAAATGATGGTTTGTGTAGTAGTAGTGTTTCCAGTTTGGTTCCAGTGGCAGCATTTCTCACTTTTCAGTTCACCTAGTGGACTTAAGGGGTGTTCTTAATAGCTTGGGACTGTTGTGAGAGTTGGAGCACTTGATTTCTGAACCATTATAAAAACTGTTGTGCTCTATTCCGAAAAGATTGTCGTTAATGACATTGTAGTGAGATCTGTAATCCAGTGGCTGGTTGAGCTCATGCCGATCGGGACAGGTGTATGATGATCAGTTTTGCACGGATCTGGAAAGGAGAAAGCTTTCCTTCCCTTTCCAAATGTTAAAACTTGGAGAAGGATTAGCAAAGGACTAAGGCGTAAGATTTGCTGTCCTCTCTGTCCTTTAAGGAGCAAATGGTACGTCCATAATTTCCTAGACTTCTAATCCATAATTCTGCAAGATGTACAAAGGTTATCTTTAATGCTCCATTTCCTAATTATTTTGTCATTTTCATTGGTCAGTGGTTCATGGTCAGTTGCCAAAGCAAAAGGCTAAAGCTGCTATGAAAATATTTCTTTCATCTCTACTTTGTATTCAGTGGGATTCTCCTTGAGACTTGAAGTCATTTTCATAAACATCTGCCAGAAACTTACATAGTAGTTAGTCTCCCTCCCTAGCACCTTTATTCTTAGGCTACAGATACGAAAAATGGAATTACTGCCTGAATTAGTAGTCTTTTATGCCTTCCAAGTATCTGTGTAGCTGTTGCAATGCCAAAAGAGAATAGCTTGTTTGAAGTAGGGCCATCCCAAACCTATTGCAAAGGTATGATTTTACTTGTTTTCTTTTGTGTACTTGAACTAACCTGGAATCATTTTTATCCTCTATACTTGGGGTGCCCTCAGTATCAATTATTCAAATTAGTCCGAACTTGAAATCTTTTTATTGTCTCTAATTCAGGGTTTTATCTGTTGCATGATAGGCTTTTTTTAAGCAGTCCTTTTTCACTCTTAAACTTATTTCTGCTGAAATCCACCAGCAATTTCATCAGCTACTCTCCTATTGTACCTAAGAAGGATAACTTTTAGAAAGTTTCTTAAGAGAACAGTAGAAATAATGCTATTAATGATATCATTTAAACGCACTAGTTCTTAAAAAATACAGTGCCTTAGGTTGCTAAAAATGTTTAAGGCACGTTAGTAGCATCAGAGGCAGCTCACAACTTAAGTGTTTACAGTGGCCTAGGAGACTTCTGGCACTTACAATTGCTTTTGGTTGCGCTTCTAACATTTACAGTATGTTGCCCTTAGAAAGATTCAAGTGCTGTATAGCCATATCACACTGCATCCTGGCTACGATATATTATTTCCATGCATTTTGTCCTAGCTTATAATGTATTGTGTATAACTTGCATTTTAATGTATATTTAGATAGAAGTAAATAGTGATAGATGGCAATAGATACAATAAATATGTATGGCTTTCTTCTTATAGCATTGTGTTTCTGCTCCCTTACTTTGGGTTTTCTAACTCCCTGGATAACTGAGAAGATTGAATGTGATTGGGTGAGTAAGGTCAGATTTAGGTAAGGACAGGTCTTCAGAACTTAATCAATGATCAGTTGAAGCAGTTGATTATCAATTCTGTGATTATGTTTTAAGGAGGAGGCATGCACTTCAAATTCAGTTTGTTCCATGCTGATGTCGTTATAAGTCACCTGGAATCCTTTCTCAACCATGTTAGTCACAAATGGTAGTCGTGTTCGATTACTTTATTCCAATCAAAGCAGGGGTTGCGATCTGTGTGTGTGTATGTAAAGCTGTTCATCTCAAAGAAGGAAGGGAAGAGTGTTTAGAGAAGGGAAGCCCTTTCACACTCAGGCTTACTTTATAGCAAGAAAGGTAAAGTAATCAGTTGGCAGTTTTTCATCAGGAGCTGATGAACCATTAACTTCTTTTTCCTTTTGATGCTGCACAATTGTGCTCATTAGAAGAAGAATGAACTATTTTGGTCTGTTCTGGTAGTTCTGCCTTTAGGGAGTTTGTATTATTTCACTGCTTTTTTCATAGATAGAAGGATACCTGTTTTCCTATTACAACATCAGATCTTTTTGTCAAGAAACACTATTAACTGTGTATCATGTTAGGATTTTTGAGTCTCTTTGAGACAAGAAGAAGGTGAAATAGTGAAGGAAATAGTGTAGAGACCAGCTTCAGCTATGGTGGAATGTGTCACATGCACTGTACAAAGTGAGGAACACCTACTCTTACATAAAGTAAACAGGCAGGAAGACGGAGAAGACTTGAGAGACCAGGAGAACAACCAAGGTAAGACACGTGGGAGATCTCAATGAAGTAGTACTTAGCCAAGTGCTATTTTGGTAGAACTGCTCTTAATCTAGGAGCAGTTAGCTGATAAGGTGAGTGTGGGAGGTTGATAAACCAGTAAAGCTCTTAAACTTTGCTTGGTGAATCTTACTGTCACAGAACTGTTAATTTACTTGTGAGGGTAGTGTTAATAAGATTGAGCGAAGAATTCAACTTCTGCTCCAATCAGCAGTCATTCTGCTAGCAGCGCTGTTAAGATATGCCTCATAGTCCCCTTCAAATAAACTTTATTTTAAAATACATTTTGATGATTGTCGTCTTATTGCTTAAAGATAGCATTTTTATTAGAAGGGGGTGAAGGTTACTGGAAGTTATAGAGATAGATACTGTTACCTCTGCAGAAAGATGTGTTTTCAGATATCTTGCCCTTCTCTACCAAGAAGTACCTGTGTTGCAGAATGCTGATGGAACTGTTCTTCAGTTGAATAAAATGTGGAGTCATCTGTCCACATTTCCTCATCTGTCAGGCAGATGTAGCAGTTAAGTTGGGATGACTTTTTCCATGTAAGACCGCAGATGGTCTCCCCTCGCCCTTAGTCTCTTTGGTCACGAAGGCCTACTAGAAATGAGTCAAACTGCACCAGTCTCTCAAACGGGCAAAATGCAACTTGCTCTTCTGTGCTGCCTGAAATAGTGGTTTTGAATCCTATGGAGTACCTTGTTTCAGACAACATCAGTGATAGTTTCTTGCGCTATGGCTTTCTCTCTCTTCCTCGCCCTCTTCCCAGCGATAAAGTTAGTATTTAAAGGCTGCTTGACCTAATACAAAGAAGTTAATATCCTAGCATCTGGAAGAATTACACGCTGGAGAATTTTGTTTTTGGTTGGTGGGCGTGTGGGTTTTTTGGGGTGGGGGGGATTCCCTCCTCCCCACTGTTGCTGGCTGTGGTGATGACCACAGCAATGACAGAGGGAAGGAAGGGGACTGAGGGGTTCAGGGAACGTTTCAAGGAAAAAGACACCTTCTGTCTTCCTCAGCTTTTCCCCACAGGCAAGGCAATGGTAGTAGGCATGCTACCCTAAGAGGGTGTTTGCCTACCACAGCGCTGGTTGGAGGGGAGGGCAAGGTATCTCGAAGAACAAGGGGATTGAAAGACCAAAAGGGGGAGGTGGGCCTTTTTAGGAGGAGGAGATGACAGAAGTTCCCGAGTTATTCACTATTCACATCTCAGCTAGGTCCTGAGAAAGTTAAGAAATGTTATCAGCTAGATTTGGACAAAAGAATACTGTGAATAGTGTCATGCCAAATTTGTTGTTGAAGTGAATTTGGAAAGGGAGGGAGGAAAAAAATTCCTTACAGCACAAAAACTTAAGGGTGTAAGAATATTCTCATGTTCTGTTCCCAAACATAGAAATTCATAGATATTTACGAAAACTGTGTTGACTGCACGTGTTTGGAAGGTGGGTTGTGGCAGGTGAGCTTCTCTTTTGTATATACTGGTGGCACTTTCATGCCCTTCAAATGAGAGGGGGAGTCCTGTCTTTGCTCAGGTGCGTTTGTACTGAGTGTATATCTTTCAAATAGTATTTGGATTACTATCAAATTCACTGATCAAAGCATTTGCAAATATTTGACACAGTAGGTCACACACTTAAGTGTTTTGTTTATGAAATTGTAGATCTAAATGTTGTGTATCTTTTTGTCTTTATAGTGATGAAGCAACCATTATCTCGGGGACAAAGCTTGCTAAACAAGTCCTGAAAGAAGTTCAAAGGGATGTAGAATCATGGATATCCCTTGGAAACAGGAGGCCTCATCTCACTGTCATATTAGTAGGAGACAATCCAGCTAGTCATATCTATGTCAGAAATAAGATAAAAGCAGCTGCAGCTGTAGGTATGTATTACATAATAAAAATGTTTCCACGTTAAGCCCAATATATTTTTATTAAACAAAAAAATGGTGGAGGGACCCTTTGTATCTTCCTTTCACTTTGCACTGTGTTCTTCCTCACCATTCCAGATGAACATAAAGTGAAAAAGTTGCAATGATGTGCAAAGAAAGTAGTTTTTGTGGCACAGGAATGGTAGGCCTCAGTTTTGATTCTATGCCTTGAAATGTTAAGAAACGGTTTGCATCGTTAGCCTTAGAACCTGGAAAGTAAAAAGTAACACAACAGAAGTGGTTTTTGACGTATAAATATCTAGCTGGTTTTGAAAGGCTAAGTGAATAAAGACAGTTGGAGGGAAATTATATATATATGAGTTTTTAGTTATTGTCTTTGCGAGACACTGATGATTTTCAAATGTGAAATACATGCTTAGGAGCTCTACCTTCTCAGCACCCGTTATCTTCCTTCTTTTATGTGGTTCTTCGGTCCACTTCCAACCATAGTAACAAATCCTAATATCCTGGAATTGACGGCAACAAAGATGACATGCTAACCACTCTTACAGAAGGAAAAATTGAGAAGAGTATCTTTCTCCATAACCTGAATCATGAATTTCTGATGTGTATCTGCAGTATTTCCTGGAATTTGTCCTGTTGAATGCTTTCTGCCCATATTAAAGCCAGGCAAGCCAATCCAAAACTGAGGTGTCACGGTTCTACATACAAAGGGCATGATTTCAGGCATAATGAAATCAAGTAGCAAATGCAAATAACTGATTACCCTGGGTAAAGCTCAGTCACTACAGTATCCTGTGTCCACTCTAAACAGTATCCTAGCTTAAACAGGAACCTTGAATTTCATTGCTGTCAGTGGAACTGCAGTCTTGTCTAGTGACTTGAAAAATTATCGACTCTAGTAATGGGTTTTGTCTTGCAGGAGAAATGAAGTCATCATATAGAGTGGCAGTATTGTTAGTGTAGCTTGATCTGTTTGGGTTTGTTCATAATTCTCAAGAGCATATTTGTAGAAAAGTTATTGTATGCCTTATTTCCAAATACTTATAAATTGCAATTTAATATTGGAGCTACTGTGTCAAACCATTGGTTTTTTTCCTGTATGTTTCACTGTAAGATTATAGTTGACATCTAAAAAATAATGTTAAAGATCAGACAGCGACAGTGGAATTTTTGGAAGTCCTCCATTCTTAGTTAAGGCAGTTGTTGAGCGTCTGATACGTTTTTAGACGAAATGAGTAAACTCACCTGAGATAGATATTCTGATACTAATATCAGTGTTTTCTGTTTTTGTTTATTATCAGGCATTTCTAGTGAGATCATACTGAGGCCTAAAGACATTTCTCAGGAAGAACTCTTAGATATGACAGTCAAACTCAACAAAGATTCAATGGTTAGTGGTTTATTAGTTCAGCTACCTCTCCCAGGTAGGTGCTGTCTCTTATCCTGCTCTTCAAATATGGACAATTTAAGAGGAGATGTTTGACAGAATTTTTGATTGTGAGCGTATCTTAGTTACATGAGGAGCTCTTGAAAGCCCGTATTCATAATGAAGGATGAGTCATTGAAACGACGCATTTTTATTGCATACTAGTTCACAGTTCTTATTAAACAAAAAGTGAAGTAAATAATGGGGATCAACAACGTTGCCTTTTTTTAAAAAAAATTCAGTCAAAATGCTATTGCAAGGATTACTTTTCCCTCTTTGCCACTTTACGCAGTTTACTTCTTGGTTTTTTTTCTAATATGTTGCACTTATTTGCCTTATTTCTTGAGACCTTTGGCCGTATCTTCATCCGCTATAGCGTGCCAAGTATACTATCCAGCAGATGATGCTACTGCCCTTCTCACAGTGGTTCTAGCTTTCCCCTCAAATATCTGTTGGTATTTTCTGTGCCTTCTCTAATGCTCCAGATGAGCTCTGTGCTAAAGTTCTAAAAGCCCCTACCATATTCCTGTTTATTAACCCCCCTGCCTCTCGCAGTTTGTAGTAAAAACTCGCTTATCTGATCCGTATAAACCACTAGGCAGTAGCTGGAAAGCTGGAATTTGGCAATGATTAAACTTAAAACTTTTCATCTAAATCTAAATCAATTCAGTTCAACTAGTGTAAGGTTCCTAATAGAGATGTACCTAACTTACTAGATTCATTGTAATAAATTGACTGGCATGTGGGATTTCCCCTATCTCTTTATTTCCAAGTGTTATCTGCTGTCATATATTTAGACTGTCGGCCCTGAAGTGCAGGAACCATGTTTGGCATATGTAGGCAAGATTTCTAGCAGTAGCTGCAACCCCAGGGGTGGTTGTTCTAGAAATAATGATTATGACGCGGAGGATTTGTTTCTGATCAGCTTTTGATCAGGTCTTCATTTCTGCTCTTACTACTGGTCTTGTTCTTTGCTTTCAGGTAGTTCTCGCTGCCTTTATTTCCTACTTGCAGAACATGAAGAAATGTGGCAGGTACTGAGTGTTAAGGAAGAGAAGGATGTGTTTTATTCGGATTTGTAATAAATTAGGCATTTGTGGTTAGAAAGTTTTGTACTTTGTATTATATAAACACTAGATGTTGATAATCCCCAAATTTACTTACCTGCGGGAGTAAGTCGGCCACAAGATGGAAGTATAATGCAGGTATGGAGAACAAAGTTTTGGACACCTAGTGATGAACTCTGGGTGTTACCTGAATGTGCTTTGGTTGTTTAGTTTGAAGAAACATCTCTTCCAGTAAGCACAGAGGAAGGGATTTGGGTTTTTTAATTAAATTTTCGTAAATATTAACAACTGACAAAAAAGACTTACCGCTGGCAGCCTAGGGATTGGACATTCCTCTCTTGAGTGAAGCATAGGAAACAAACTTGTCTTCTGGACTCCTCATCCACTGGTATGTTCCCCGTAAATGGAGGGTGCAATATGTCACTTGACTTAGGCTGATATTGTGAAAAATTGCTTGATACCACTTGCAGAAATGCTTCCTTTATGTTGTTGTTGTGTTTTTGTTTGTTCGAAGTGGCTATCAGTTCATTGCAATCTTCTCTTGAGTCTTCTGCTTTCGTTCTGCACAATGATACATAATTTAACAGTGGACTTAAGCCTTGACATTTAGTGAACTTAAACCTGTTTAACATTTCAACAAAAACAATTTGAAGGTGATGGTAGATGTCTGTTCAGCTGTCTAATGCTAGTACACTTAAGTAGTTTAAGCCCTATTGTAACTGGTTGAACATCCCTCTCGAGCTACAGTACCTTGCTCGCAGTAACTACGTTAAGAATAATTGGTCTTCCTCTAAGCTGTAGAACTTGCCAGTGTGAGGCTTGGTTATTGCTTACCTTCGGAAAACCTTTACTGTAGTTTAGTCAACGGTAGAACTGCTTCAGTGTTATATGTCTGTATAGATATTTGTTAAGGCTAAATACGCAAGCCATTTTTAAGAATAAAGGCTTTTTTTACGGTGGATGTCAGATATAACTTTGAGTACTGAGAGGTTTTTTTGTTTGGTGCTTCTGTTTGTTTGGGGTTTTTTTTCCTCCCCTGAAATGCCATGTTCTCCCAAAGAAACTTTTAGAGATGGAAGCACAGAAGACTGTTAGTTCCTTTCCCAAAATCAATTTAACTTGCATTGAAATGGTAGGAGACAAAGCCTAGAAGTTGTAGACACTAGATCAGCAATGGCTGCTGTTGGTTGGTTGGTTGGCTTTTGTTTTTTATTGTTTTGAGGAGGGGATTAAACAACACACAGATGTGGCTTCTGATCAACATTAGGTTAAAATAGAAGCAGTAAGTGGCTTTGTTCTCTCTTACTTCTGTGAGTTGGAACAACTTAACTTTGAGGTTTATCATCTTTGCCTGAGCAAGACTTGCTTTCTGTGCACCTTGTGAGTGCGTCACTTCTGATGTGGTGATGGTTTGGTGGACAGTTTCTTGTGTCTTTTAAAGCTGTTTGGAGTATGGCTATGAAATGTTACATATTACTTTGAGTTAGAATGCCAGAAACTTAACGTTTCCTTGGAGGTCAGCAGCCATGACATGTGAGACAACTGCATGTGAACAAAATGCCTCTCTGTTGTAAAGGACTGTGCTAACTGAAGGTCAGCCTTATCTGGTGCAACTGAGTGTGTCATTATAGCGGGGTTGCAGTACAGCTTCTAAAAAGGGTTTCTAGGGAGCCCATTGCTGCTGCTGAACAGCTCCTTCCTCACTCTGTATTTCTTGATCCATGTTGTATATTTTAGTTGCTAGAACTGTAACTCTTTTGCTCCATATTTTTATTTTCATCCCTCTCTGCTTTTGAAAAGGCACCTTAATTTTTAGCTTATCTATATATGACCCATGTGTGTTCTCTGTAAAGAAGAGTATGACCAGGCGAGCCATCGTGCAAGCTGGGTTAACAATTAGAAGTGTAAAGACAGAAACTTGGTATGGAAGAATAGCTTGGAATGGTTGCAAGTAAATTTGTGTGACGATCTGTAGAGAGAAGGTTAAGTGTGTGAATAGTGTTCTGTGACACGCTAGCATACTTAAAAGATGTCTTTTTCCTCTGGAAAAAAAAATTGAATCGTCTGTAGTCACATGCAAACAAAACCAGAAAAAAACATTTCTGAAGGGAAATAAAATCTACACTTATGTAACACAGTAGTGATTTCTAGTGTTAGAACTATTTTTCTTGTATCTTTGTCTCTCCCGTGCCCCGCATTAGTGTTTTATGAGATATCCCGCAGGAGCGGGGAGGGTCCACATCTTCTCTTTTAAACATATTTCCTACAGGTGTTCTTCTGGAATGTCTCTTCACATCACAGTTGTTACACTTGATTTTGTAGCTTGTCAGAGGTAAAATTGGCCAATGCTTATGTTGTTTCATAATGAATATTCATGTTTATGCAGTATAAGCTTTAAGCAGCTGAAGACTTAACCCGTAAAAATAGTGCAAAATATTAACTATGAGAAGTTACACAAATGTGCAAGTGTCACTTAAATCATATTTAGTGTTTTGAGCTCATAAATATCTCACAATTTTATGTGATATCCAAGTTTTCCAGTGAAAAAAGAGCCATTTTTAAGAATTTGCTTATCAGCGGGCACAAAATGGCTATCTTGGTACAAAATAGAAGCTAAAGGCGAAACCCGTCAAGATATCTCAGCCTAGGGTTTCCTTGCATTTGTTTAAAATTAAGGTCTGAAATGCTTTTTGTGTATGTGTTTTTTTGGGTTGTTTTGGGTTTTTTTTTTTTTTTTTTTGAGCTACTAGGTTATTAACACTTCCACAATGCAGAAGAAAGTCGAGTGTCTTGTTTAAATATTTACTTTTCATCATTAGTAAGCATCATTCTCAGTGGAGTATCATCCTCTAATGTTTTGACTGACACTGTTGTATAAGCAGGGTCACAAACTGAATCATTTAATTTTTGGTGGATGACTTCAGCACAAAGTTGAGGTTGTAAATTAAGGGGTTTTTTTTTAGTTGTTTATTTTAAGTATAGCCTAAGCATAACAAATAATAATAATGATCCTAGTTAGATGAAAGTATTGGGTTCTCCATGTAATGATTTGGATAGCATTGATGACTTTTGACAAGTGAAAGAAAAGTAATAGGAAAGCAATGCATTTTCCAGATCACATAGATGAGCGAACTATTTGTAATGCTATTGCACCTGAAAAGGATGTGGATGGATTTCACGTTATCAACATGGGACGTCTGTGTCTTGATCAGCCTTCTATAATACCTGCCACTGCTGCTGCCGTATGGGAAATTATAAAACGGACAGGTAGGGAAGTGTTTTGAAATGTGGTTTTATGTTTTTTTTATTTAATTTTTTATTATGAAAGCTGAAGGAGAGAGAGAGGCAGATGTAAGTTAACAGATGCAGACTGTCTTAATCTATTGGGCTGATAAAAGAACAAACATTTAGAGGAGTAATTAAATAATAATGAGGCACCAAATAGATTGAGATATTTTGCTAATAATAGAACTATTCATTAAGAAGAGACAGTCATTCACTTAGAGTACTTGGTGAAGCATTTTGCATGATAACTTACTTTGCACTTTTTATAATGTTGGAAGGAGCTTTCTGTAAGACTACTCGTGATTAATTAGCAAATAGATAATTAGAATGTGAAAGTTGTTGATGGGGAAGGGGAAGAAACAAGGACAGAAGTGACACTAAATTTAATTGCATACTAGAAAGGGAAAAAACTGGATACTTCAGATTTTGTAAGTATAATACAGATGCTCCCATTGATAGACTTACGAGCTTCTATTTCCCTTTATGGTCAGCGAGGACAAACTAAGTCTCTCCAAAGGGTGATTCGGATTGCCTATATTAGGTGGCAGTTTTGTTTCTCTACTGTGAAAGCTGAAAGCTGGGTTATGGATTCATTCCGCAAGGTGAGTTTTCAAGTAATGTAGATGTCAGCAATCTGCAAGAGCAAATAATTATATCTTGAGGATTGAGAAGATGAGTTTAGGTATCTCAAAATAGCAGGATACAACTTTGTTTTTATTTCTCTTTTTTTTTTTTTCTATAAGGAATACAAACATTTGGTAAAAATGTTGTTGTAGCTGGAAGATCTAAGAATGTTGGAATGCCTATTTCAATGCTTTTACATACTGATGGAGAGCATGAAAGGCCTGGAGGTAAGTCCAAGAATATTGTCCAGTATGCTAATGCTCCTATATGTGAAACTGTCAAAATAACTCTAAGTAGAGGATTCGGATGAAATGAGAAAGCTTTTTTCTCTTGTACCATGTTTGCAACAAGCGAAACAGTTGTCTTAATTAGAGACATGGATGTACTGCTATAATTGTGCTGTAGAAAGAGTAACAAATACAATTTCAATCGAAACTGTCCTCTTACAACTTTTAGTTTGATGTTAGAAACTACCAAGGTGATGTGCACAAATGAGGTAAACATGGATGTTTAATCCCAGGTGTATTTAATAGGAGTAGAATGAAATCTGCTATTAATGTAATGAAACGCTAAACGCTTACTAATCGTAGAATTGGCTTTTCCATTCAGCCTCTGTGGGAAAGTTGCTGTTTGGAACTTCTCTTCATGTTTGAATTGTAATTACCATCAGTGCATAATTTTGGGCTCGTCTCCATTCCCATGAAAATCACTAGGATTTTTGCTATCTATTGCAAGGTTTGGGTTCCATATGTTATTGGAAATGCAATTTAGTGAACTAGCAAATGGAGTTTGAAATATGCTTTATATAAAGCAGATGAAGTGAAACCTGATAAACAGAGCTATTGTGAAGTACGGGGGGGTTTCTCCCCCCCCCCCCCCCCAACAACTGCCACGTGGTACTATCCAGTGTAAACAACTGACAATGAGAAAATAAAAGAACATATGTACTTTTTCGATTAAAAAAACAAGCATAAGTATGTATTTGTAGTGTCCATTGGTATAAATCCTTTCAAAGTTAGGCGAGTCTAGTGTAGTTCTCTTTCCTGACTCTCAGATTGGACTGTCTTTGAAGGTATGAGTGGTCTCCTGCAGTTAGTTCTGCTTCTGTTCGGAGCAAGAAGAGGCTAGCCTGGATGCAGCATGGAAAAGAAGGCAGTATTGTTTGGCAGGCTAGGCTGTGCTTTCAGTTGTATGGTAATTGTTAAAATTTCTCCATGTATCATGACAGAGAAGAAATTGAAGGCGGTTAAGATAATCCGAGATAGGTAGCGAAAGAGCATACATACTGCTAATGTTGAATTAGGTCAAGGAGGCAGAGCTGTAGGAAAGATTGGAAAAATGAGCGTAATGAAAATAATAGCTTAAATGGAATAATCTTTTCTAGCAGTATTCTCAGCAGCTGGTATAAGGGTAAAATTTACATATCGTAATCACAGACATCTATTGGGATGTAAGACGAGGTAGCTTTGACAAGCTTTTTAAGTTTCTAGGCTTACTGCATTTTGCAGTTCAAGAGAATTCTGCATCTAGAGTTCTGTCCTTGTGCTCTGTCATACTCAGAATTGCATGTTTTATTTGTTATTAAGCAAAGCTTTTCTTCTTAAAAGCATGTTTTGAATAGTTTAAAGCTGGTAGTACAAGGGAAGTGGAGGCTTCCTTTTTAAACAAGGGGAGGAGGACCAGACAACAGGTTATAGGTGCTGATAAAGAACACTTTCACGTTTATCAGTCCAGATAGGGTTGTATCAGTAATTGAGACTGAATGGATGAAATCACACTTATAAAGAAGTGATGCAAGGGATTTGGGCTTTTTGATTTTGGTGTCTGTATTTTTTTTAAATGATAAAACTGAAAAGTTGGGGTCTGTTGCAATCTGTGATGTTTTGTATGTAGAAACGCTAATATCCTGCAGGTGGCGATATCTGGTCATATAGGAAAACTGTCTACCCTTACAAAACAAATCGTTCTGTGTGGTTAGGTCATGAGACTATCTCTGTTTCCTGACCTAGTGGATTGACTCGGTAGTATGATACTTCATTCTACTTGCTAAATATCTTCCTCTGTCTTCTTTCAGCAGAAGTAGCAGTGTAAAAATAGTTGTATATTTTCTATTTTGACATGATCACAAATAAATGGAAAACCTACCCTTTCTGAGGTGTCTGTAAGCTCCTGGACTGCTATTCGGAAGGTAGGGACCATCTTTTTTTGGTAGTGAGTGTAATTATTTGGTTTCAGGAGCTGACTACAGATGAAATGTAGTCAGATGACTACATTGTAGATGAATGTTTTTCCCAGAAATCTTTAGGGGAAAACTGCATCCATTTTATGTCTTAGGAGCTGGGAATATTTGCATCTTTGGACTTAGTCCATTTTTTTTCTTCTCAGCTTCTATGTTGAGTGCGGTCAAAAGTACATTGTTACACACATATCTTTGGGAATTAACAACAGCTGCTTTCAGACAAAACATCCTCTTTACTGTTTAAAATGGATATTGTAGGATCTTCTGTTTTATTGAAGCCTTTCTTTCCAGATTCCAGTGAAAAGTCTGCTTTGCTCTCTTGTGTGAAGGATGGCCCTTCAGAGAGTCCCTGAGTTTGTAGGGCTAGCACTTGCTACTTAACAGTAACAAGGAAGTGCATCACACCAAAACATACATAACGACTTTCCTGCAGGGGACCGAGTGATCAATTTTAGTAAGCCTTGGAGAGTGAGACCACCAGAGAGGAGAATCTTAGGCTGTCTGTCCAGTCTGTATGCTGCTCACTCATAAGAGCCTGTGTGCATGGCAGACATGGAAAGAAGTTAACAACCTGAGAGGCGATGCTTTAGATGAACAAAATTAGAGTGTGAATGAGCCCTTGTTTCGTCTTGTTCGCATGTGTTGTGTTTTGTGCGTATCACCATGTATTGATACCAAAGGCAACCAAGAGTGAAGGCTGAAGGAATATTGACGTGTAGGCTTTATGTATTGGTTAAGATGTTGCTATCACAAGAAAGGTTAGAGAGGAGATATTTTTAGGACGGTCAGCTGTATAAGCTTTTGATGGACTTAGATCCATGGGAAGTTATGCAGACTTGGTACAAGACTTTTGTCAGTTCCCCAATTTCATGGAATTGCTCGTGCGCATTTGCACTGCGTTTTGCCAGTAACTGAAAATGCGTTCATCAGCTACTCTTCAGGGAGACCATATTAAGTGTAGAGACTGAAGGAGGAGAGGTGGTGACCGAAGGAAGAGAGAAGTGGTCAAAAATGAGGGAGAAGGGGCAGAGAAGCCAGAGCACAGGCAAGTTGAAGACGGCATGCTTACGGAAGAGAGTTAATGAGATCAGGCACAGATTAGATTTATCAGACACATTTCCTGAGGAAGCAAATATGATGGTCGTGTCTGTGATGGCAAGAACTTTCAGTTTAATGGTTAGTAATATGGCTTAGGAGTTTATGGTGAATGGAAGGTGGAGGCTGGTGGGTGTAACACATGAACACTATGTGCTACAAATAGCTGGAAGGGGGAGAGAGAGACAGAGTTGGCATCAGAATCTGGGAGGAAATCTCCTTTGATAGCTTTTATTTTTGCTATTTTCCAGGTCAGAGGATCACCACGCTTGATTTTGGACGCAGTGTGAGACTTCAGTCCCTATGCCCGTGAACCTTTGTTTTTGTGTGTATTGGTTTTTCCTCATGATCTCCATCAAACAGGTTTTCCAAAACAAGGTTTTTCATGTCTTATTAGGAGGGTGTTTTTTTGTAGCTTCTTGCCAAGCAGTGTGCCTACGTGCAAAAGCAGGCCCAGATCTTCCGAGTTTGCCCAGAAGGTTGTGGGCTTCCATTTGTGATCATTTCAAA